AGTAGTATAATTTTAAAGATTATTTATTTTTTAAAATGTTCTACTTTTCATTTTGTAATTCCTTTATTAATTTAAAAATTTCGTATTCATCTCTCCTTAAATGCATTGTATACCTATACTGTTGCCAGCTGGCAGTCTTATAGACATTTAAATGTTTCTGTCAATAGTTTAAAATACCACATAAACAAAATTATATTTTAATTGAAAAAGTATTTTATAAAATTATTTCAGTAAGTTTACGTATAATGATAAATCAATTTTTTCATTGTAATTTTGAAAGCTTTTTATGATTCACAGGTGGACAGTACATCATCTGTGAATCATAAATTTTCAAACGTCAAAAAGTAACCATGTTTATATCTAACTTTTGGTAATAAATTCATTTTGCTATTTACACTTCTCTTTGTTTTATGGACCATCAGAGGTTGAAAAAAAAACAATCTTTGTATTGATTGGAGGACGGATAACCAAGGGGTCAAGGTGGTAGTCTTTTGCATCAACCCAATAGTTTCCAGCCGTTCTGGAACCTCACAAATTTCAGTTGCTCTTAGGCGTGCATGAGGTAAGCATTGCTTTTTTGAGTGTGCTAAACTTCGTTTTTTAGTTTTGTTTTTTATACTGTATATTTAATCAATATGGCACCGAAGAAAGAGAAAAGTGACAGTGAAAATAGAAAACGTTTTAGTGTAGCATTAAAGAAAGAAATTATTGCAAAATACGAGAATGGCATTCGTGTTTCTGACATCGCTAAAGAATATAATATGACAAAATTGACTATCTCTACAATTATTAAAAACAAAAAAGCATTTAAGGCTGTGAATGTGATATCGAAACAAAGATCTAAAGTTTTAGATGAAGTTGAAAAACTGTTGCTAATGTGGATCAATGAAAAGCAACTTGCTGGAGACAGTGTTAGTGAAGCTATAATTTGTGAAAAGGCTAAAAATTTATACAATGACTTATTGATCCAGACACCCAGTACAAGTGCAGACAGGCAGGACTTTAACGTGAGCCGAGGGTGGTTTGATAGGTTTCGTCGACAAACTGGCATTCACAGTATCATAAGACACGGGGAGGCTTCAAGTTCAGATGAAAAAGCAGCAAAAGCATTCGTAGATGAATTCGCAGAGTTTTTAAAAAGTGAAGGATATGTCTGGAATCAAGTGTTTAATTGCGATGAGACCGGTCTTTTCCAAAAAAGACCGGTCTCATCGTACCTAGATGAATGTACGTAACCCAAGAAGAGAAAGCACTTCCCGGGCACAAGCCCATGAAAGACAGACTCACTCTTTTACTTTGCACTAATGCAAGTGGTGACCTCAAAATCAAGCCACTTTTAGTCTACAACACTGAAAATCCCCGTGCCTTTAAGAGCAAAAATGTGATAAAGTCCAAACTGCCTGTACAATGGAAGGCAAATAGTAAGGCATAGGTAACTCAGACTTTATTCATAGATTGGCTCACAGAAGTGTTTGCTCCTACTGTTAAAAATTATCTTCAGGAAATGGATCTTCCTCTTAGATGTCTTCTCTTAATGGATAATGCTCCAGCACATCCACCAAATTTGGATGACGACTTGGATAGTGAACATGACTTCATCAAGGTCAAATTCCTTCCACCCAACACAACTCCATTATTGCAACCAATGGATCAGCAAGTGATTTCCAATTTTAAAAAGCCGTATACCAAGGCACTGTTTACCATGTGTTTTCAGGTTACCAATGATACTGACTTAACTCTTAGAGCTTTTTAGAAGGAGCATTTTAACATCCTGCATTGTATCAACCTTATTGATAAAGCCTGGAGTGAGGTCACTCACCGCACTTTGCAATCGGCCTGGAGGAAACTTTGGCCAACTTGTGTCATAGAGCAAAACTTTCAGGAATTTGAAGAGAGCTCTCTTGATGTAGTGCATGAAATTGTGTCCATTGACAAGAGTTTGAGAGTAGAGGTAGATGATGCAGATGTGGAGGAGTTGCTGAAAGACCATCAAAATGAACTAACGACAGAAGAGCTGGTTGCCATGCAGGAAGAACAGATGAAAGTCTTACAAGAAAAGCATTCGTCAGAGGAAGAGGCTAGGGAAGAAATCACTAGTGCTGAGATCAAGGAAATTTGCAGAAAATGGAATGATGTGCAGGAATTTATCGAGAAGCACCATCCTAACAAAGTTGTGGCTAATAGGGTCATTAATTTAATGAACGACACACTGCTAGCGCATTTTAGAAAAATTTTGAATAAGAGAGCAAGACAATCAACTTTAGACAACTTTCTTGTTCCTTATCAAAAGAGACCTCGACTCGAAGAAACTCCCGATGCAGTGCTACCCGATATTTTTATGGAGGGGGATTCCTCTTCCAAGCATTAAGCTCCGTAGAAACAAAGGTATATACAGTGCTACTTTATTAAAGTTTACATATTTGTTGCTGTAATGATAGATACTACGTTTTGTTATATTTTCATCAAAGAAAACCCATTTTACAAATAAAATTACAAAAATACTGACGGCTAGAACGGATTAATTGTATTTGCATTAATTTCTATGGGAAAAATTGCTTCAATTAATGAACGGACTCGTGGAACGGATTACGTTCGTTAACCGGGGTTTTACTGTACTGTCATCCTTATATTTAGTTCATTTAATCTAAATGTTTGTATAAGCAAATGAAACAGGATCTAATTAATCTGTATATCGTCCTTTCTTTTAAACTTTTACAGCCAGTTTAGTGCCACTTCAAGCCTACCCAATATATTTAAAAAATTGGTTATGGGACTTACCAAAGGACGAAATAAGATCTTAAGAAATACTAATGTCTTCATATTTTGTCCTTGTTGAACACCAAAGGAGCTTAACGGTGGAGCCGGCTTATCAGAAGCTATTTTTCCGTCTCAATAAGCAAAACACTATAAAAATTTCCTTTCGGCGATGTGACAATCATAAAAATGTACATTGATAAAAAAGGCGGACAGCCGGATGACCGAGCGGCTACCGCTCTCAGACCCGGGATTGAAATTTTATGGGGGCTCCATCCGGATATATTCGGCCCCATCGCTCACCACCTAGTTGACCCCACAATGGGCTTGTGTAGAAAAAAGCCCTCTTAGTGCCCACAGGACAAAGTTTTAAAAAATCTTAAGCTCCCTTAAATTACTCTACTTAAATAATATGAAATGAAAAAATGATGTTAATTTATGCATGTCCATCATGAGTCTAAACTTTTGAGATATTTAATTTAGAGTTGCGTACTTATTTAGATGCATGTTTACTTTTTAAAAATATTTCGCAAACAAATATTTTTATATAAAACTTTAATAAATACATTTGTTTCATTTTATGTTTTATGTACTGTACATGTATGTAACACAAGCAGTAAAAATATTAATATAGCATGCATAAACAAAAACCAAAAACAAGAGATATCCAGAAATGTTTATTCCCACATGACAAATTTACAATGAAATCAGAGGAAAGATTTTTCAGCATGGGTCAACAATTGTCCAGCATTTAAAACAAGGTATATAAATAAATTTAACTATCTTCACTGTGATTTATTTATTACTCATGAAAGATAAAGCAATCAAATTCACTGTTGCTTTATTCATACAAGTAATTACAGAAACAGATGAATACAAATGTAGATGAAACAAAGTGCATGAAAGAGGAGAGGAGTACATTAATGCTACACAGTTAAGAATATCCAATCACAGTAGTGCTGAGTCAATTCTTGCAAATCTGTGGGAACGTGGGAAAGACCAATTCACATTTTAACTGATTGCTGTACACTTTCATGCTGGCAAAGTTTCTGTATACTTAATATACAAAGATCAAAATATTAACAACTGTAATATTTCTTCTTTGACGAAATGGAATGGTTATTGACTAGAACCGCAAGAAATTGCATCCTGGCTTCTAGTATTTTTTTCATGCGAGGTTCTCACATAAATTTATGAAATTCACATTCATATCAATATACACTGGAAAATGTTAATCCAACTTGAAATTTCAAACCAAGGCACTAAACCAAAGAATAGAAGACTTCTGTAAGTAAAACAATATCATGTGAACATATATTTGTTTATTCTTAATTAAATAATTATATACTATTTTTGTGGAAAGATTTTTCTTTATTTGATGAATAATATAACTATAAGCAAACAAAGAAATAAAATAGAATATTAATTCTTCTAAAATATTAGAAAAACAAATAGGTATTATATTTATTTTAGTAAAAATGCCTATTAATTAATTGCTTTTTATTGAATAGGAAAATTTATTCCATTTTTAGTGTAAACAATTAATGAAATATTAAAAATAACTGGTTATATATATTCATCCATTATTATATTCGATTAGCAATGTAGTTAATTAACTTTTGTCTCTGCATCTTTATGCATTGACAAAAGCTATTTATGATATTGAATGTCATCACTTGAATTTTTTTATTAATATGAGAGACCAACTCCTTTTTGATTCATAGATGGTCAAGCAGCATAAATCAGAGGGCACCAAACTTTTCTGACTGTCAACACCTTTAAGGATTCCTCGACCTTTTAATCGATCCCTCTCACAAAAGTCAATATCTTCTTAATTAATTACTTTGAAAGAATCTTCATTCATCTTCAGTTGAATTTAGAATTAAAACAAGTAGATAATGAATCCAGAAATGTTTTTAAACTGACTTATAAGTATTGGTATTATTAACTATTGGATAACATAATGTAAGTTTTCGTATTTTGTGATTTATATTGATATTTATAACAAGAAAAACATTACTCCATTTTATAAAATCTTTTTAGAAGAGGAAAATTAGCTAAATGATTGAAAGCAAAGTTAATTTTTTATCCTAATACAGTTTCTCACTAAAACTATTAATCACAAACTGTAAAACAGAAATTAGCAATTATGAAGAGAAAGTAATTTACTTAATTTTTAGTAATATCCTACAGTTTACTATACTTCTATTCTCTTATATTTTAAATATGCTTTAGAAATTATTTTGCAAAACTATTATAATTACAGTGAATTACTGTTCATAAGACAAATATAAGTATTTTATTTTTTCAGATTAAACAAAACTTTTTCATTAAGAAAAACAGTTGATTAATAAAGTTTTTGTTATGTAATATTTTTAATTAAATCACCCATCACATCTGATGATAGTTTCTCAAGATTTCTGATACTTATGAATGAGTTTCTACTTCAATTTTCTCTTTTAATATATATTTTCTTCATAAATAATCTTTTTCTTTCCATAAAATCAAATGAATTTTAGGTCATGAGATAAATATTTTGTCTATTTTATTTCTCTTACTACTGTTTTGGTATCAAAGCATTGTCTTTATCTCTCTTTTTTATTTATATTTACATTTATCCCAGTAAGTTAAAAGAAATTCTGAGACATGCAAATAATTAATTGAATTAATTGAAATAATTTAACACTGAAATTACTTTTTTCTGTGTCACAAAAAAAATTTTTTTAATAAAGTTCCCTTAAAATTTAGCTATAATGGCTAAGACAGTTAAGATGCAGCCTATGCTTAAAGGGCCAGGATCAAATTTGGACAATCAATGCTGGATATTTTTCATTAGTGATACATTCCGGACACATTTGACTCTGTTTCTCATCACCCAGATGCTTCCATTGTGGTCCTGGTCAAACTCACAATGAGTATAGGAAAAAAAAGCAGTCCTCTTATTACTACTCTTAGAGGAAAAAAGTAAAATTTTAGTTAGCTGGAGTCAACTTATATTGATGACTGAGATTATTTAGGATTTTAGAAAATTAATTAAAACTTATATTCTTAACTGTTATATAAATTCTATTATTTTTAAACTTACCTTGTTATTTGCAAATTAGATTATAAAGATTTTAGCCTGAACAGTTTGCCTCTCTCTTTTTGATCTCCTTATACATCACAATCTTTTAGTCAAAAATATTTTGTGCACCAAACACTTCTGTTTATTCAAATTTATGTTGCAGAACCTTAGTTATTTCTTATATTTACAGCCAAATACTCTTGAAAACAAGTCTTTATCCAGGCACTGCTGATATGATACTTTTTACAGAGCACTATAATCATAATTTCAATATATTTGACATCACTAACTATACCAAATGTAACATAACTTACTATTTTATCCACATCAAATCTGATGTTCAATGTCACTACTTAACAATTAATAAAATGTCAATATTGCTAATCATAGCAAGGAACAAAAAGCTAAGATCCATAATGTTTGCTCAGTCAGTTAATATTATCATTCAGTATTATTGTTTCATCTTGGACACCTTGCAATATCTTTAAGGAAGATGCATCACATCTTTGTTTCATGGGAAAGGGAGGAACATGTAGCTGCAAGATTTTTTCAGAATCACAAATTGTATAGAAAATTGAAGGCTGAATGTGGATTCCAAAAGTTGATACCTCGAATCACATATTGTTTCCAGATGAAAACAAAGGAAATGCTCCAAACTGACTATTGATAGGTGTTTTTGGAGATGCACAGAGATAAATAAAATCTTCTGATTGTAAATGTGAACAATTAAAGGTTGGTTCCGATAAACTTCTATGAATTTTTGGTAGAGATTGAACTAATGATTCTAATGAAGCCAAAATCTGTAAAAAAAAATTATATGAATTAATTTTACATTAAAAAGTATTAAAAATTACTCAGTTTAACTTGAATGTTTTAGTATTTAACAATACTTGTCAGAAATAAATTAAAAGTTGGTGGTATTAGAAATTTTTAATTATTGCAGATTGATCATTGGAAAATTTTAATTAAATTAATTAACTTTTCAAAATTTTTACATCTAAAAAGTCATTAATGCTTACAGAATGCATAGCACCTAAACTAGCATTTCCCAATTAAGATTCTTTGGATCCAAGTGTTCTAAGTTTACACTTGGATTCAATGACTTATTTTCAGGAAGTTGTGGGTTTTAAATCTGATCAGAGACATTGTTAATGTTGGATATGAAAAATAAATTTAATAAATCAATTTAATAAATGATGAAAAAAATATAAACTCTGATGATAATTTACAGATTTTTTTCATCATTTATTAAATTGAACTAAATATAGCACCCTTTTCTTAACCAAATTTTTAAAAATGGAATTTTATTTTATTTTCCCTTTTTGATGGTTACTCATTTTCCCCAGCCTGTGATCATTAATTTATGACACAGAAGAGCCTTTCCCCTTACCTCAAAAGTTAAAAAAAATCTTTTCTAAATATTGATGATACAATTTAATACCATGGACGATATTTCTTTTATTTTTAACAAGTGTGCTAAACAAAATTTTCCTGATTGAAAATGTTGGAGATTATTAGACTGCTATCAGTCAAATTAGCATGATTTTAAAATGGGCCAGATGTTTGAATATCACCTCCAGCATTATTCACAAAATACGTTTTCAGGGAATTACTAGTTTCTCAGGTTCCAAAGAAAGTTTGCTGACTGAATTGTTGGGACTTATTTATATATAATTATGATTAACAGCAACTTAATATCTCAAAATGCAATGTTATTAATTAATGCCAAGCAATTGCTGTAATATATTAGGCTATTATCTACTACTATTAATAATTAGATTTTAAGTAATTTGGTATCAGAGGTAGATATTAGGCACCATCTCTTATTGAAATTAATAATTATAATAATTTAATATTTATTAAATTTAGAATAATCCAGAAGAAATGTAACTGGAATGTGTCTGCATAGTAAGTGGGTGTTGCAGGTTCACATCCCACTCTCGGCTGGTTCTTTTGTTCCAGACTGTTTCAAATTATTTAATAAATATTAAATTTATAGTAATTGTTAATTTCAATAAGAGATGGTGTCTAATGTGTACCTCTATTACCAAATTACTTAAAATCTAATTATTATTATTATTATTATCAAAAAATAGCCCAATACATTACAGCAATTGTTTGGCATTGGTCAATCACAATTAGCATGCTCTTAAAGTGGGAGATCCAGACTATTAACCATGTGCAAATTTGTTAATTTTATTTTAAGAATGAAGTATCAATATAAGAAATTCCACTTAGGACATTTACAAGTTGTCTGTAGTGATAATTACACAATGGCAAGCTATGGAACTAAAAGGAAACTATCCATTTTGACTATAAAGGACAATCTCTGATTTAAAAAAAAAATGAAGCAGAAAGAGTGCAGAAAGATTTGGCAAGGAATTTAATTATTGATGCAAATTCAAGCTGTTAACTCAAAGAATAGGAAAATGTTAATGAAGAAAAAGAAAAGGCAACCAAATGAAGCTTGCAGAGCAGTGTTTAAATGATTTTAACCAGTATTGCATAAAAGAATTTCCAGTAAATGAGCAATGTTGTAATAAAAGATTCTGCAGTTTATATCTGAACTGGGTATTCAACATTTTCACACCAGCATCAAATGACTAGTGTGACAAACTTGAAATCTGACTTTAATTGCATTGTTGGTAATAGTGCAGAGATGAA